TGTGAGAGGAGAGGGACAGCAGTGTCTCCAGTCCAGTTAGGTGTGTCTCAGTGTGTGTTTTTGTAAATATCTAAAGAAAATGGTCAAAATAAATGAATATCAACTAGTTTAATTAGGTTTCTTTAAACATCTGGTGACAGGCAGGTGTCCTTCAGACTGTAGTGATGTGTATAATGAATATATACAGTATGTAATGATATTAGTCAGTGCATGTGCACAGGAATAAGAAAGTGTATTAAGCCAGGAAAGTCGTTACACAATGTGGTGTGCAGTCCCTTCTAGTAAAGTTATTTTTTCAAATTTTGTGGAGTGTTCATCAATCGAACTCTAGATATTAACAGAACAAAGACCATTCGAACAAATGCCATCAGAAGCTATGAAATGTTGCCTGTTTTATTCTCACTGAGAAGTGCAAGTTAATGCAATTCAAGACCACCCTCTGGTGGCTAAAAGGTGAATTCGTGCTGCCACCTCCGAGGTGACCAGTTTACCCATGGCCCAGCTCACTTTACTAGTGTGCTCTTGCAGACTATTTCTGGATGAAAAAAAGAACTCTTCAGTTAACATTAAAGGTTTGAGGTGAGCAAATCCTTCATGTTTAACCCACAGCAAATCTGTTAAAAAACATATCCAAAGAGTTCCGCTCAAGAGTTTACATGAAGAGTAGTGGGAGCATGGAACAGGTGACCTTCGAGATACAGCTGCATAAGTCCAGAGATCAATTACAATTACTAATTACCAAGCGGGCTGTGTGGGCCAAACGACATCCCCTCGTTTGTAACCTTTCTTATTTGTCTTTTGTGGAAAAGGTTTAAAAACAGGGATGTTCAGACACACTGGGATGGTCTGAGGTCCCAGGGAGTGTCTCCTGACTCCCTTGGCAGAACAGCACCTCGTCTGGCTACTGGCCACTCTCCCTTCGGCCATTGCAACTCGGGCAGTTGAGCTGGGCCGCTTGTTCCATCCTCCCACCACCCTTTGCGCACAGGAGCACCTCCTACCTGGAGGTTAAAGTGTCCGGGTCCGAGACCCACAGTGCAGTAGTCAATCAATCAATCAATCAATCAAAGCTTATTTATTAAATGAACAATAATACAGCGTGCAGCAGTAGTTGCTAGCAATGAAATGTCTTTACTGCAAGCTCACCAGGGAGGGGATCACAAAATTTAAGGTAAAAAATGTTACATAATAATATGTAATAGTGCAATAGAAGTTCAATGAAATAAACTCAGACAGAGCACAATATAAACAGAACTGCGATGTGTCCAGGTTGTATGCAATACATTATGTCCAGGTAGTGCAGTATGCTGAATACAATGAAAACTGCGTGTCCATGTAGCCATTAGGGTTGATTTGCTGAAGGAGCTGCAGGTTGGCTATTTAGCAGTCTTATTGCCTGGAGGTAGAAGCTGTTCTGTAATCTGTTGGACTTTGACTTTGACTTTGAATGCTTCGGTACTGTATGCTGGGTGGTAGAAGAGAAAACAGTTTGTGACTGGGATGACTGGGGTCCTTGAGAATGGACCTGACCTTCTTCAGACATCCAGCTGAGTAGATCTCCTGGATGTTTGATAGCTCACAGCTGGTAATGAGCTGTGCCGACTTCACCACCCTCTGCAGTACTTTGCGATCCCGGGCGGAGCAGTTCCCATACCAGCCAGTGATGCAACCAGTCAGGATGCTCTCAATAGTGCACCTGTAGAAGTTGGCCTGGATATGTGGCGGCATGCCAAACCTCTTTAGCCTGTGGAGAAAGAACAGGTGCTGCCGTGCTGTTTTGACTACGGTGTTGGTGTGGTGGGTCCAGGTTAAGTCCTCTGAGATGTTAACTCCCAGGAACTTAAAACTGCTGACCCTCTCCACTCCAGTCCGATCGATATAAACAGGTATGTGATCTACTTCCTGGTGTTTCCTATAATCCACAATCATCTCCTTAGTTTTACTGATGCTCAGAAGATAAGATCACTTTATTGGCCATATACAATTTCTTGCATTAGGAATTTGTCTTTTCTCATACCCCAGCTTACTCTCCATGAGACACACGGACAGAGAGAAGCTGGGGGTTAGGGCGCAGGGTCAGCTATTGTACAGCAACCCTGGAGCAGTTGGGGTTAAGGGCCTTGCTCAGGGGCCCAACGGAGTAGGATTTTTCTGCCGGCTGCGGGATTTGAACCGGCAACCAGGGTTTCAACCTCCTCCCTGTACGCAGACTCTCCATCATCTGTGATCAGGCCAATGACTGTTGTATCGTCCGCAAACTTGATGATGGAGTTTGAGTGATGCCTGGCGACACAATCATGGGTAAATAAGGAGTAGAGGACAGAGCTAAGCACACAGCCTTGGGGGGCTCCACTGTTTCAAGTCAGGGTAGAGGATATGTTGGTGCCCACCTTCACCACCTGCGGACGTTCTGTCAAGAAGTCCAGGTGTTCAGTCCCAGGTCCTGGAGCTTGATGACAAGCCTTGAGGGCACTATGGTATTGAATTCTGAGCTGTAATCAACAAACAGCATTCTCACATATGTTCCTTTCTTATCCAGGTGTGGGAGGGCAGTGGCTATAGCATCCTTTTTTGACCTGTTCTGGTGATACACAAACTGCAGTGGGTCTGGGGTGTCAGGCAGTGAGGAGGTGATGTATGCTTTGACCAGCCGCTCGAAGCACTTCAGGATAACATGATATGTGATGGCAACGGGGCGGAAGTCTTGCGGGCAACTGACTCTGGGTTTCTTAGGAACAGGGACAAAGGTGGTTTTCTTAAAGCAGGAAGGAACTATAGACTGAGTTAAAGAAAGACTGAATACCTCAGGAGCTTCACCAAAACCACACAAGACAGCTGGTGACAGCCCGTCACCTGGTGCAGTGGCAGTGTTGTCTGTAGATCTCGGTCAGAGAGCCCTGCGAATCCTGCACGCCGCTAAGATGGCCGCCCTCTGCCTGCAGTCACGTCTGACCAGGGCTCAAAGCGATACGAGCTGGAAGACAAAAACATGGCCGCTCACCCTGAAATCAGCCAATCACAGAAACACTCTTGCATCGGGGGCGGGGTTTTGGGCGAGATTGATAACTTAACTGCCCAGTAAGAATAAGGGTTTCTTTTTAAATTCGCAAAAGAGCCATAGGCCGTTCTTTCCTTTGACCCGCCTAGTGTTTCATCCCCCGGAGATCGACAGCTATTTTACCCAATGGGGTAAGCGTGTGCTCGTGTAGTGCAAGACGATTGGTGACTGTTGAAAACGTCATCTCCTGTGGGCGGAGAAAGCGCGTATAAGACTTCACCACAAAGGCACAAAAGGTGGTCTTGGTCGCCATTTTGTAGAGTTGCTCGAGTAGTAGCCTTATCAGTGACGCATTCGACTAATTTGTTCTGTTTAGTAAACCTTAAATTTTTTTATTACTATTAATAACACAATCAGTCAGGATGTCTCGGGACAGGTTCAGAAACCGCGGAGGCTTCCAGCGCAGGGGAGGCGGAATGCGGGGCGGAATGGGGGGTAACCCCAACTTCAGAAACCACAGCCAGCACCCCTTCCAGAACCGGACCCCGCAACAACAGCAGCAGCAGCAGCAGCAGCAGGCGCCGCCGCCGCCGACTCCGCCGAGCCAGGCCCCCCCTCAGACCCCGGGCCTGCCGCCGAACCAGAACACCCCCGCGAAGCCTCCGCCCCAGGCGAACCCGCCCGCCGTCCCGGCCGCACAGCAGCCCCCCGGCCCGCCCAACAAGAGCACGCCGCAGGCCCCCGCCGGGCAGCCCAGGATACAGTCTCCCCCGCCGAAGCCGGCTGCGCCGGGGGTCCAGAACCAGACGCCGAACAAGACCCAGCCGAAGCCGGGCCAGGCCAGCGAGCTGAAGCCGGCCCTGCCGCCCAGCAAGCCGGTCCCGCCGCCCAGCAAGAAGACGGAGCCGCCGGCCGTACCCGAGCAGCAGCAGGTCTGTAAGGGCGTCACACAGGCGAGTACCCGCCGCGGAGTGAGGCAGCAGGGCCTCCGAGCACAGCCTTCACCGGAAAGGCCTGGTCAACACGACGGAGTGGCTGGTATATTTCAGCTTCCTGGCCTGTGAGAGGCAGGTGAAGCTGCGCGCACGTACGGGTTGTTGTTTGCTAAGATGGAGGCGCTTCGCGCTCGATAGCTGGGCCTGTGAGTGCGGCTCTAGAGCTGGCGGTGGGGGCCGCCCGGACCGGCCGCGGCTTTCCCCTCGGGCTCGGGAGCCGGTGGGCTCCGGGGAGAGGCTGTCCGCGGTGCAGGGTTGCCGGGTGGCCTAAGGTGTTTTTTCCCCCTGCGGCGCCGCCGCCATTTTCTCTGCGCGTGGAGGCGCGGCCGTTGGCGTTTGAATGAGCAGAGGCTCGCGGGAGGGCCCGCCAGCCGGTCCGGGTCCACTAGCCCAGCCCGGTCCGGTTCGGTTTTATCATCTTGTCTCCACAACTGAGGCGTCCCCGGACTGAGGAGCTAGCGGCTGTACAGTGCGCTTGGGCCCGTCTGTGGGGACTCTGCATGTTCTCCCGGGGCGCTGCAGGAACCTCATGCCTGCTGAGGGCTGGGCTGCTGGGCGTTACTGATCACTTCCTGCTAAGCCCTTCTGAGCTGTTAGGGTTAACTGTGTCTATGTGTAACTCTTGGCTAATTCTGGCCCGTTTGGACCGGTCTCTTGCAGGAGCTGAGGGCCACCCTGTCTCTGCTGCGCAGGCCCGGGGAGAAAACCTACACCCAGCGCTGCCGGCTCTTCATCGGCAACCTGCCCAGCGACATCTCCGACGAGGAGTTCAAGAAGCTGTTTGCCAAGTATGGCGAGCCCAGCGAGATCTTCATCAACAAGAGCAAGGGCTTCGGCTTCATCCGCCTGGTGAGAGCTCAGCGCCGCCCCGCGAGATACCTGTCCGCCGAGCGCCCCGTGGGCTCTGTGCTCACAGCGTGCGCTCTGTTCCTCTGCCCCGCAGGAGTCGAGGGCGCTGGCGGAGATCGCCAAGGCCGAGCTGGATGACGTGCCGATGAAGGGGCGCCAGCTGCGCGTGCGCTTCGCCACGCACTCGGCCGCGCTCTCCGTGCGCAACCTGTCGCCTTTCGTGTCCAACGAGCTGCTGGAGGAGGCCTTCTCGCAGTTCGGCCAGGTGGAGCGGGCCGTGGTGATCGTGGACGACCGCGGCCGCTCCACCGGGAAGGGCATCGTGGAGTTCGCCTCCAAGCCTGCGGCTCGCAAGGCCCTGGAGCGCTGCACCGAGGGCGTCTTCCTGCTCACCACGTGAGTGTCCTTCCGGACAGCCCAGCTCCGGCCGCGCCTCCGGCATCGGTCGCACCGTGCCGCGGTAACAGCCCCCCTCGCCTCTTGCAGGTCGCCGCGGCCGGTGATCGTGGAGCCCCTGGAGCAGTTTGACGACGAGGATGGGCTGCCGGAGAAGCTGGCCCAGAAGAACCCCATGTATCAGAAGTGAGTGGGGGGTCTCCCTCGTGGTGCGGGGGGTTTCCGCGCTGGCGGCGGGGCGCGCTCTGAGACCTGTGCTTGTCCTCGCAGGGAGCGCGAGCAGCCGCCGCGCTTTGCCCACCCCGGCTCCTTCGAGTTCGAGTACTCGCAGCGCTGGAAGTCCCTGGACGACATGGAGAAGCAGCAGCGGCAGCAGGTGGAGAAGAACATTCGTGAGGCGCGGGACAAGCTGGAGAGCGAGATGGAGGACGCCTACCACGAGCACCAGGCCAACCTGCTCCGGCAAGGTCCGTCCCCGCAGGCCCGCCCGTTCGCTCTCTCTCTCGCTCTCTCGCTCAGCCGAGGTCACAGCCCCCTCTCTCCGCAGATCTGCTGCGCCGGCAGGAGGAGCTGAGGCGCATGGAGGAGATGCACAGCCAGGAGATGCAGAAGCGCAAGGAGATGCAGCTGAGGTGAGTCTGGCCTGGTCTGGTCTGCGTCCGGAGTCGATCTGACCCAGCCCCCGTGGGGAGGGCGGCGGTCGGTCTGTCCCGCAGGTGGGAGGGGGGGTGCAGTTCGAGGTGTGGGCGTGTGCTCCTGTCCCGCAGGTGGGAGGGGGGGTGCAGTTCGAGGTGTGAGCGTTTGCTCCCGTCCCACAGGCAGGAAGAGGAGCGGCGGCGGCGGGAGGAGGAGATGATGCGTCAGCGCGAGATGGAGGAGCAGATGCGCCGCCAGCGGGAGGAGTCCTACCGGATGGGAGGCTACATGGACAATGTGAGTCGGAGGCCGCGGCCCGCCAGTGTCCACCTGCGGTTCTGTCTGGAGCCCCGACTGACCCGTGTTTCTCTTGCAGAGGGAGCGCGAGATGAGGCTGAGTGGAGGGGGCTCCATGGGCATGTCAGGTAGGTTGTGTGCCGCCCGGGGGGGTCTGTCCAGGTTGTCACCTCAGCCAGCCTGGTGTTTCTCAGCCTGTTCCAAGCTCACGTGCCGACCATGGTTGTTTTGTTGAGCACATAGCTGAAAGCCTGTGGTCTGAGGGGCAGAAAGAGGTGCCCTCGTGGTCTTGATTTCCTGCCCTCTGCTCTCACCCGCAGACATGCCCTTCGGCTCACCCAACCAGAAGTTCCCCATGGGAGGGATGGGCTTCGATAACCACCAGGGCATGGGGGCTCCTGCAGCGGGCGGCATGGGCGGCGCCATGATGCCTGCGGACATGGTAAAGTATTCCGGGCGGGGAGGAGGTGGTAGGACAGCCTCTAGCGTATCGGTCACTGTTGCAGTCAACACTCTTTCTCAGCAAGAGCGAGATTCAGGATTCTGTTTCAGTGCTCGAGGTGTGATGTGGTGGTCCTCCTTCACTCAGTGCTCCTGTGGTGCGGACCGTATCACGTGCAGTTCAGCCTACCTCCAGTCCCTCTGAGGAGATCAATCTGTACTAAAACTGAAGCTGGTTGTCTTTAGGTGTTGTACTGGGTCTGTGTGCGATCCTTGTGTTGGTAATGGAGGTTGTTTGCAAGTCCTGTCTGCGAGAGCTGGGAAGACAGGCGTGATTTCAGCAGAGAAGAAGGCTGGCAGCCCCAGATCTGCACAACATAAGGTTACAGATGACAGGAGCCATTGGGCCCATCTGGCCTGTTTGTCTTTGGATCAATAGCCTTCTCTCATCCAGCTGTCTCTTGAAAGAAGCAAAGTACTGCCTTCAGCCACATAGCAGAGTAGCCTGTTCCACTGCTCTCAGCTTTCTGATGAAGGGCTTCCTTGTTTCAGGTGCCAATATTTTTATATACCGTTGGTGCCAGACTGCTGCTGCAAAGGAAATTAACTGGAAGTGGTCAGAAGTTATACTGCCCTTTTCTGACTGGATATACGAAACGGGTGATCAAAGCTGCTGCACTAGAGGCCCTAAACTGGCTCTTTTAATGGAATGGACACCTTCACAACTGATTGAATATTTTCATGTGTGAAATGAGCTGGTTGTAAATTTTAGTGCTCTGTCCTTATCAGTTGTGCCTCCTTGTGAATCAGTACACTTTAGAAACGTAGCAGACTGACATAAATTAATCTAATTTTATAATTTTGATTCTAGGAGCCACTACTGAAGATCTAACAGGGAAACTGCTGTTTCCTGTTAAGAGCTGTCCTCATCCATGTAATATTCTGAAAATACTGTCATCAAGCCATGCAGGGTTTCTTCTGATCTTACAGCTCTGGACATTCTGCAAGGCTGAGTTGTCCGTACTGGACTGGGATGCCTCCAAGTGAAACCAGGCTGCTAGTTTTCCCTCAGGGGATCCTCCAAACTAATACCCCACTCTGAGGCACTGTTCTGTGCCGCAGATCAGCCCCTGCAGGTCCTCTGGCTCTGTGTAGAGTAGGGTTGTTATTCCTGGTGTCCGCTTTTTGTAGAATCCATCTGACCCCAAACATTTGATGTAAAGCATTTTATGCGAACCAGAATTGATGCATTGTGTTCCGTTGCTAGTTGCCTTGGGGCATGAATGACTGAGCAGCACAGTGTCCTGTGGACTTTCCCCGACTCTGTCCTAGCTTCTAGCTCCTACCTGTGCTGAAATCGGCTCAGGGCCTCTCGGAGGGCACGTCCGGTGGCTCGGTGGGGTGGGATGGGACAGCTGAAGCACAGAGAAGAAAAGTCTGCCTTTTTTGTTGCCTTACTGCTTTTCTGTGATTTTAGAGAATTGTAATCTCAAACAGTAACTCTGTAGCACATCAGTGAATCTGTTTTCTTACTCAAGTTATGCTCTGTTGCCATGTGTGACTCGTATTGCATGCATCTCAATCTTACCTGCACAAATCAGTTTTAGTACAGATTGACCTTTTTATGCCGTTTTATGCAGCTCTTCTTCCTCCAGTGCAGTGTTGAGTACAGTTTCTCTGTACACATCTGAAGGGACTGAGCTCTGCAGTCTTCATATTTCACTCCTGTCGACTGCCCTCAATTCTGAGGTTCTCAAATCAGTGTGGACTGGCTGAGCAGTGTCTGATTACTAGTTTTGAAAACCTGAATTTGATTTCTATACCAGAATGCTTTCAGTGATGAATTTTGACTCCAGTATATCTTCCTCATCTGCACTCATCAGCGATTCTAAATCTCCTATATGGGAATGTAATGTAGTTTGATTGTGGTGGTTCAATTTAATAGTGAAACTTCTGTAAAAGTGGCTTAGTGTGACCACAGGGATCATCTTAGGGATCCTGTCTGATCCTCTGACACTGTTGTGTGGAAGGAGCAAGACGAACCCAGTTTGTCAGTTCAGGTGTGTTCAGTGTTTTGTCTGGTTATTGAACTGTTACAAACCACTGTAACTAGAAAAGACTAAGATGAAAATCAGTCTGCAAAGGCAGCAAGCACATCAGTCTAGGTGTGTTATGAGTTCTGTCTTTAAAGATGTGATGCACTTTGCTAACCTGCAGTTTCATGTCTCCGCGTCAGCATTCTGCAGTACAGCCAGAGCACTTCTGAGTGAGCAAAAATATTTGCACCAGTGGAATAATGACCGGTTGATAGGTCTGCATTCTGCATGTAGTAAATCCTACTTTTCTTAACCTACGTCTGTAATCCAGCTGGTTTTGCCTGGTAAATAAGACCAGGTTAATTGGATACAAATGGGGGGGTCTGTACCTCAGACTGGTTGCTGTTTTACCGGTCTTTTACAGAAATGTGGGTACCGCTGTACCTGGCTATACCCCGAAGACCAATACTTAAAGGTTGATTTCCATTGAATTTTGGAATTATTCCAAAACTTCTGTACTGTTTACTTCTGATTTTGCTGTATTTAAGAAATGCAAAATCTCAAAATAGTTTAGACATTTGTTTCCATCTGTAGATATTTAACTTGCCAGATGAGCACTGCTTTTCCGAATGCCACACTTGTATCAGCTGTACTTGTGCTCTGCGGGACACTTAATGTAGACAGGTGTGATTGTTTTTACTGGGAGGTGGGGGATGATGCAGGTATTCCTCATGAAATATGAAATCACAATTAACATTTAATAAAAGTACAGGCTGTAGTTAGACCTGGAATCTGGCGTTGGCTGGATGAAAAGGTTGAAGAGTAATTTAAAGAATTGTGAACTGTTTTTTATTTGTTTTGGGGGGGGGGGGGTGGTTGGAACTGTACTAAAGGCAACTGGACTGGGTGGTGCCCTCCATTGGAAAGTCAGGCCTTTTATTAAATGTTTTCCCCTTCCTCCCCACAGTGGCGTAGCTCAGAGCTCGTGGCATGCTCAGCAGGCTGCAGCAGGACGTAACTAATGCAATCATTGCCCTTTCTTCCTTTTTTTTGTATGTCACCTGTGGCACCTGCGGATCTGCGTGTTGGACTGTTTCGACGAACCTTTGCTCCGGACTTTAATCTTCTCTTTGTTCTTAACCGGCTTGTGAACACGCCGTACCGTCCCTCCTCCCACCCCTCTCTCGTGTGGACTCGAAACGCGCCTCCTTTTAGCGCAACGAGCGTTTCCCCCAGGGGGGGCCGGGGGGGCCCAGGGGCATGGGCCCTGCAGGGATGGGTCCTGGGAACCCCGGCTTTGGCCGAGGGCGTGAGGAGTTCGATGGGCCTGCCAAGAAGCCCAGATTCTAAACACTCGATGTGCAGTGGGGAAATTGCCATGACCCAGTGCTTTGTGTAGGGCCTGTTCGGAGACCTCTCACCCCATACGTCAGTGTTTAAACTTTTGCATTTTATTCAGACTTTTTATGGCAGTTTCTTTTTATTGAGTTTTATTTTGTATTTGAAGTAGTGTGTAAATGGCTCCCAGTCTCCTTCACCCTTATCATTCCCTCTTCAGCTTAATAGTTTTCTGTGATGGACTCATGGTGAATTTGTAAGTAAACTTTATGGCTGTGTATTTTTGTGCCATTTCACATTTGAATTATGTATCTCTCCTTTTTAAAGAAATTACAATAAAAATGTAATTCCGTCTTTACATTAACTTTGTTCCAAGTGTTTCAGTGCAGAAGTGGGATTATGCAGTGTTGGTACTGCTGCCCTTCAGGATGCAGCAACTTCAGTTCAAACCTGATAAAACACGAACTTTGACGTAGGTTTTAGAATTGCGGAATCACCCCCCTTGGGCGTTGACCTCTATTCCTTGATGAGAAACAGGGAGACTTGTCTAAAACTGAAGACTTCTCAGAATAAAAGTCTAGCTTGTTTGATAGCTGGAGACGATGTAAGCCTGCAAAAGTTTAACTTCATGTTTTTTACGTACCAGGTGTTCAGCACTGTGAGCGTTTCATGTTCCTTGCTGAGCTGTGAGGAAGATGTGTGTAAAAAACGCGTGCATTAGTAAATTACATCAGTCAAAGGCTTTTAACATTGGCAAGCTGTAAAGCTTAATTGCTGCACTGTAAGCAACTGGCTGTACAATACTGAGCTATTTCATCTGCTTCAGTGCTCCCCTTCATGCCAGTGGCTTATCTGAATGCATGATACCTGTAAGCCGTTTAAGGGCGTGGCTGCCATGGTGTCCGTGTCGGTACCGTGACCGGAAGCCACTTGGAGCTGTGCTTGTTGAGGGTGAAAGATCAGCTCTGGTGGGTGTCTCCAGTGTGTTCTGCAAACTGCAGACCTGGCAGCGCTGAGTCTGTAAGCAATTCACTTCAGCCTTCTGGCAGTTATTTACCTTAAACTTACAACGACCAGGTTAATAGCAACAAATGTTTAAAAAAAAAATTACCAGCACTTTGATTTGCCAGATTTTTTTAAATCTGTGATGGTGGCCTTTAATTTGGCGTCACTGAAATAACGCCTGAAGTGCAGTATATGTGCTTGTCTGCCTGTCACTGTCGGCTCGATTAATTCAACAGGATCCTCGGAGCTTGTGTACTTGCAGCTGGAGTAGCAGTCTGCTGTGCACTTTGTGGATTACATGATTACTGATAATATCCCTGCAGTATACCATTACACAACAAACTATCAGCTCTATGACCTTGAACATGGCTGATTTTAAAACCTTGACTCTTGTCTTTTTGGTAATGGATTGTGAAGGAAAAGTGCACGTTTTCAGATTTTAAGTGTTTAAAACCACTGGGAAATTCTCTGCCAGGAGCTCTGTACAGCTTGGGTGCAGTTTAACAAGCAGGAATCTGTCTGTCCGATCTTGGAGTAAGTGGTTTTTATGTCTGTTCTTGGTAAAAATTTGCTAACGATTCAGCCTCTGATGTAAGCTTCTTAAGAAAAGAAGTATTAGTCTGTAACCCTGGGAGTAAACAAAGGGTTTGTATACATAGTTCTGCAAAAGCTCCTGACATTTGTAAGCCAGCAGCTCAGGAGTGACCCACTGTCTGGCTACCAGGAGCAGAGGTACCAGACCTGTAACCTCAAGGGAAAGGGTTGTAAGTTTTAGAGGCTCTCCGTATCCAGCACCTCGTATCCCCTGTTCTCCCCGTTCTGTTGCATCACTGTAACTTTTTTTTCTCGACAGGTTACTCTCTCGTGTCTGTCTTGGCAGCTGCTGGTAGACTAAGGATCCCAAAACTGCTTGATTCACCATGTGAACGAGCATGAGGACTTCAGGCTGAGTGGTCAGCTGTTTATAGTCCATCAGTGAAAGGCAATTTCTGAGGGTGATCTAGATTACAGCCCTCATACAAGCGTGCTGGCAATGCTATTCCAGTTAAAGCAGGGGCCTTAAGATTTTAGCAAGTCCATTGGGTCTCGAGTGGCCAGAGGCTGCGACCTGAAAATACTCGACAGGCGTTCCAGTGGCTATAAGATAATCCAGTTTGACGTATAAGGTGCACTTCCAATGTCTGGAAAATGTGCTGTACAAAACACTTGTTTATGAAACTACAGATAAGATCTTTGGGATGTTTGATCCCAGAACGTTTCCTGGAGCTGTGATTTGTATTCCCAAACCATAACTGAGTCTTTGCCTAGGAGAGTTCCAGGTGAAATTGTGAAGATCTGAGTGATTGCAAGATGCATTGTGTTTATAAACATGGATAAAACGTGGTGCAGTTAATATTTTGCCAGAGCAGAAAATTACTGTGCTAATTCTGCAGTTAAAATGGCAGTAACGGCAGTGCAACACTGAAGATGCAGCACCTGCATGGCTGCATTGTGGAGATGGGTCAGAGGGGTGGGATGTATGCCAGGTGCACAGCCTGCATAGCTTCGACAACACCTAGTACTTCTGGGTTTTAGTCTGATCCTCTGAATCTGTCTTCCCCAAACTGAACTGTTCCTGCAGTTGTCTGGGACTCGCCTGGATTTTCTTTGGGACAGGCTCTGGGCAGACAGGCCCGGGCTAAAGAGCTGACAGCCAGCCGTCGGGAGAATCGTCTCCAGATCAGTCAGCATAGCAGTGTGTGCTCTAGATGAGCCTCTCACCTGGACCTGTAGAATCGGGGATTCAGGTACTGGTGCTGTCAATCTGGTAGATTTGCTCCCTTATCCTCCTGGTTACCCAGACTAGCCTGCTAATTTCCTGAACTGGGACCTGCTCTTGCCTTTATCTCCGGAAGGAAGGAATGCTTACATGGGTAGAGTAGGATTTTGCAGGCCAGTAACTTCTGTATGGCATGCGCATTCACTTAAACGTAGGAAAATACAATAAAACTAAAGATTTGTGACAGGATGGGCTTCTGTATGAACCGGCCTGGATGCAGTTTTCCCTCTGTAAATCATGTCTTTATTAAGTGTAGGACTGGGTCTTTAACACTTGATTGGGCTGGATACAAGAGCCATTTAAAACTGTCAAGCTGGTTATACGCTCCCATTGCAGTGTACAGCCTAGCTTATATAGCGTAACGGCGTATATGAATAAGGAGGTTGAAGAAAATGCAAGCTTTCTGCATGTATTCTTGTGCGTTTTTCAGGCAATATTGAATGTTCCCACACCAAGCTGACAAGAATAGAGCCTGCAGCTTCCCTTTATTCATATGTGTAGCTTCCTGGTAAAGGGTAGACTTCTGTAAGTCTTGAGCGCAGTGCCCACGGGGCGCTGGAGCAGTGCGCGGGGCCGCCCCTGCTGCGCGCTCCTTGGCACGTGGGGCGCCGGTGCACCGCCGCGCCGCCCCTGGCAGTTCAGGGCGTTGAGGATCAGTAGTTCTACAGCAGGCAGTGGACATTAGAACCTGGACTGTAACACGTCAGGATCAGAGCTGCAGAGAGGTAAGTCGTTTTTCCCGACGCTCAAATCTAGTCCTCTTTTCCTCCCGTGTCATTTGTCCTGTATTCCTGGGTTTCTGGCATCACACTTCTGAAACCGGAGTCACAGTGCAGAACACCTTATTCAGTTGCGTGAAACGGGTTGTGTGCTTTTTCATAAACAGGTTTGAAGAGCATACAAAAAGATTTTAAGCAAGCTTGGCCAGTAGTACTTGGAGCAGTAATTCATCCTCTTTCTGCGCAGTGCCTGAAGTATTCAGTTTTTCCCCCCTCTCTGTAGCTGTCTGTCAGGACAGCTACAGACTGTCACTGGCTTGTCGATGGGGGCTGGGAGGTTGGGCTGTAATTCAGTTTGAAATACTGAGCATCTAAGCTCTGTGTGGCTCATTAAATCTGCTCAAGTTACATTCATCGAGCAAACGTCAATCCTAGCAGAGCAAGTCTAGGTGTGCTGTACCGCTGTAATTTGTCTACATCACAGGAGCTAGTATGAGCTTCTCACTTGTGCTGATAATGCTATTTAGTAGTTAAATTCAGTTTTGTAACTAGTTTCAGTTTTTAAAGTTCACATTTACTTTGGTTATACACTTGTCCTAAATAGTATTGACAAAGTTGTATTTCGTGCTGTTTAAGCATTGCCGGTTTGGTAAAACTTTTGTATCGGTGATCTGCAGCTTAAAGATGCTCAAACCTATGAGTAATTGTGTCTTGTAGGCTTTGTGATGTTTCTCCTGACCCGAAAAACATTGGGTATTGAGGATTTTTCTTTTGTAAAAAACAGTCAAATGCACAAGTTTCACCAAAATGCACAGATCTGGTCATTCTAGCGGTGTCCACTCTGACTCTAACTCTTCTGTACAGCCTGACCTTTAGTGGTCTTTGTGTCAGAGCAGCAGAGATGCAGCAGGTTCTCTGGCGGATACAGAAAGACCCAGTAAGGGGGGGGGGCGAGTGGGTATGTTGGCAAACCTGGACCAGACTGGGAGTCAGTGCTGGGCGGGTGGGTTCTGCAGGGCCAGTGACAAGCCACCCTACCTTCTGCGGGGCCCACTGGAGTACTTGTGTACTTCGCAGGGCTTACAAATTCAAAGTGCGCTGAACAGTGCTGTCTGGTAGTAATGTTGCGTAGTCCTGTGGAGCGGTAATCTGAGGGAGGCTCGTGTTCTGGTGCTGCAGCTTGCCTGTCCCTCTGGAGCCATGTTGGTGCACCTGGCTGTCCCGTGCCGTCGTGACGCTTGGCAGCAGGGGTGTGGTGATTTCACTGCGTCCCTTTTGAGTGGGGGGAGTTCCACTGGTTTCTGCACTGTACTTCCGAGTCCTGTCCAGTGGACACGGGACTTGTTCAAAACGTGTGCCAGCCCATCATGTCTCAGGAGTGTGATGCCAGACGAGTGGGCCAGGGTCTTGGAAGAAATGCTTCAAAGTGACTTTCAAAAGTTTACTGTCAGAGGTGAGCAATCACTTGAATATGGAAACGAACTTCACAAAACGCTGGGTGTGTTACATCAACTAGCCATTATGCTGTTTTTAGTCAATCCAAATTAAAATTAAGATCTCTAATTTTATTCTTGAGGTATTGGCAAGCAAGATTTTAAATGTGCAACTTTCTCTGCATGTTTATAGTCCAAACCTATAATTCAGACCAGCCTTTATTCCCTTCCTTTTGATTGTTTTTAGAGGTAATCCTCCCTGATGGGAGTCCAGGGGGTCCAGCCTGCCTCCCCCTGTGCTCTGGGTGTGCAGTGTCCCTGCTAGGCCACAGCCTGTTGCAGTGTCGCACAGCTGTGGCAGGGAGCGGTCACCACGCCTGCAGACTCCTCCCTGTGCCCTAGTGGGCATTATTGTAGCCACTCACCTGCCAGAAGCGCATCGCATACAGGGCCGCTGCCCCAGTCCTTATCCCCTCTGTACAGGGCTGCAGGACTGCCCTCTAGTTTACTGCCCCTCAGCAGTACAGAAGGGTCCAGGATGTGCTCGTCCAGGGTATAGTGATGTTGGCCCCTCACTCCCAGGCACTCTGCTGACTTGTGTGGTTCCCTTCCTTTTGCAGGTGCCGCAGCTGCATGGAGGGGGCTGAGGGGTCTGGAGCTGCACAGAAAAGGTCAGTGTTTCTCCTGAGCTCCAGAGGCTGCAGTGTTCTGTCTTCCATCACCTGCTCAGGGTTAGTTTCACCACTGCTTGATCTTTGACTGTTACAGCACAGATTTCAGCTGAGGGAAGGACATGAGGAACGTCTGGCTCTTGGTTGCTGGTAGCTCACCTAAGAATTTGAGCCTATGGTTGAGGACGACTTGTAGCAATCCTGTTGGTTGGTGATTTAGGCCCTTTTTAGTGACTTCAATTCTGAAAACTAAAATGGGGACCTGGACGAAGCCATGCACAACCCTTGCGTGAAGGGTCTCCAGTTCCTACCCAGAACCATACTACTTCCTCCATTTCCAGTTTAACGGGCGGAGCTGGTGGTGGAGTCCTGGCTAACTCACTGACTTCACTGGTGTGCTGTTGTCTCTACAGGATGGGTATGTTGAGACCTGAGGAGATGCGTGTTTGGGACACGGCAGACATTCGGACCACATCTGGAGCAGGTGGGACAGACCGCTGGGCCATAATGCACCTCTAGAGCAAGCAAACTGGGGGGGGGTCACTGGGTGTCGCACCAGGATGACATGCAGAGGTGGAGGCAGCTAGTTCCATCGAGTGGCACAGGAGAGTGAAAGCACTTCCACTGAAGTGGGTCTGTCTTCCACAGCTGGTGTTTCCTGCACAGACCTGACTGGGTTCCACAGCCGGCGGAGCCCCACAGACTGCGAAGAGGATGACTGCTCCGTTACCATTTCAAATAAAACTATGAAAACCATGCCTGCTTTCTGGTTTCATTTTAAGAACAATATGTACTTGCTGCAGGGATCACTCTAAGGGTATTTGGACAGTTGCAGTGTTTAGACCTTTTATAGGAAGTGACTTTGCTATTCTGAATTGCAGCTGGTGATGAGTGTGGTGTAACTGGGAAGCAGCAGCTCAATTGCTGCTGCAGTGAATTTGGCACCAGCTGACCCTTCAGTATAGCCTGGTGGGCGTCTCCAGTGGAAACGGGACGCAAGATTGCATGATGTGGAAATCTTGTTTCGGAGAACGGGTCCACTGCTGAATAGGAGTGGTTTAACACCGATTGTAGAATGCAAGGCAAGCTGAAGCCTATGTACTAGAATTGAGATGTAACTCCAGTAAGGTGTTCTGATCCTGATTAGATCTATACATCTCTATTTTAGCATCAGATGGTTAGAGCAAGAGTCATATCTGAGCAAGGCTACAAGGAATGACTTGTGATGTTCTTGACCGTTAAAAGAACATGAACAAAGGTAGCAATGAGTTCTAGTCTGAACGTCAGTGGAAGCGTAGCAAGCGGTGTCCGTGATGGCGAATGATCTGACTCGGAGGCCGTAGAGCAGCGTGAGCAGTAAAGGTGTGGAGCACTCATACTGGACGACGGATTTAGAGCAGCCTGTTGAAAACTGTCCTCGCTCAGGTGCGGAGACGTCCGACAAAGTCAAATGGGAATCTAGCTGAGCAGCCACAGCCCGTTCCAGGAGTGGAGAGATGGAGAAAAGACGCTGGAGTGATGCGATGCTGGGGGTCCTGGCAGGGTGTTACTTGCAGACGAGATGGCGGCAGGCTGTCAGGCCAGCTTGCTGGGACTTGGTGCTGATGTGGGGGGCGACAGCTGGAAAGTAGCCCAGCATAGAGATGTAGGTCTAGGACAGGCAGGAGTTCTTTGTGCTACCAGTCGCACAGGCAGGATCAACAGCAGCGACCGGTGCCAGATGAGCTCGATGTCCTTTCATCTGTCATCTTGTCATTTGCCTGAGAGTCACTTCAGGCCTCTTTTCAAAGACTGATGTCTGCGCTGGGGGGGCAGGCAGGTGGCAGATCATCCGCAGGGCCTCTGGCTCTAATCAATAATTAACATGGAGTTCAGAACATGAATAATTGATCGCGGCAGGCTGACTAATTAGAGGGCGCTGGGGGAGACAGCAGGGGCGGGGGTGCTCCTTGAGGAGAGGAGATGGACGGGACGCCAGTGGACCTGGGTGTCGGTGCAGGAGGTCGCAGGGATGGCCGGCCGCCCCCGCTGTCTCGCCCCCTGATCCGGACTGCGCTGCACGGTGGAACCCGCACCCGAGACGCTCCGAGGCTACCGCCCCCCTGCTGCACCAGGGTCCCTGCCCGCCGGCCCCGTGTGACCCCCCTAAGGTAAGACGAGACTTTAACCACACACCCCGCGGTCCTGCCCTGGGGGCTGGGGTGTGAGCGGACCTGCCTCTCCTCCTGCTTCACAATCTGTCACCTGGAGCCCACCGGTGTACCCCTCCCCCTGCCCACAGCCCCCTGGTGTACCCCTCCCCCTGCCCACAGCCCACCGGTGTACCCCTCCCCCTGACCACAGCCCCCTGCTCACCCCACCTGTACAAGGGTTGACTCTTTCGGAGCAGGGGCCCGTGTGCTGGTGAGGACCCTCCAGCCCCTGGGTCTGGACCCCTCCCTGGAGCTCCCTCACTCCCCTCCCTGTCCCTGTCCCAGCAGGCTTGGGGGGGCTGCCCTCTTCACTCGGGGAGAGACATCGCTCCCGCAAGGCTTTTCCAGGAACCGCTGCGCCCCCCTCCGGAGGCACCCCCCTCTGCCAGCAGAGCATCTACTGCAGCGGCCCCCACCAGCCTGTGGCGTGCCTTCGTTGCCATGGAAACCCCCCCTCCCCCAGGGAGGGGCGCGGGGGGCACAGCCGGTGTACTCCCACTTCGCCTCTGTGCTGAGACCTCGGGTTCCTGACAAACCTGTGCTGCGCCCCTCGGTCCTGCAGTACCGGCCCTGTCCACCTGGCGGCACTCTCTCGGTGCGGGGGACCTCCTGCCTGCGCTGCCCCCCTCCCGCAGCTCCCATCAGCCCCCCCCAGCCCCGCACTCAACTGCACGTGTTCCTGCCCACCGGGGCAGCCAGCGCGGCAGAGGGGGACGGCGAGTCTGTGGACGAGGGGTTCATGGAGGACCTGGACAGCAGGGTGATGTCCCTCTGTCTCCAGCAGGGGGAGCTCAAAGGCGGCACCGACGCCCCCTCGGGCAGCCCCTTGCTCAGCTGAGCCACTCGCAGCTCCACATGGTGGCCAGGAGCACTTCCGCGCCTCTGCTCAGCCATCGCTGTCGTGGAGAGACTAGGAGACACCCACTGCTTTCCTGCTGCAGGACTCAGGGCCTTTCACACATTGACGGGTCTCTGCAGAGAAGATGACAAGCAGGAGTCTGGAGTCAAGTGTTCTGATCCTGAAACACACAAGCGTGACACCAGGACATGAGGACACAGGCGGGCTCTAACCTGGACAACTGGACTATTACAGTCCTTTCACTGTTAACCACAGGGAGTCTGTCAGAAAGAATCAAATATTTGTTTTCAATTTTCCGTAACATTAAATACAAGAAATGTTAATTAAAATTGTTTTTTTTTTCATACAAATGTTATTATTCTTAAGAATAAACTTACTTTATCGTAATTTTTACTTTTTACTTTGACTGTAGCCCCTATTGTAACAGACTGTTTTACTGTACTGGGACTGTAGCTCCTATTGT